AGCCCAGCGTTCAGAGCTCATCAGACCAGGGCTGTGTTTCTTCCATCAGTCTGGGGAGCTCCAGCCTGCCTTCATCATTCTGCAGACCAGGGATTCTGCCAGACTAGGGACTGCCTTCTCAGCCATTCATTAGCCTCATGTTCTTTGACTGAGCTCCAGCTCTTTGTCCATTCCTGTGCTAGGCATTACACACGCCACAGGAATAAGACAAGGGTCCTGCAGATGTGGTCTCTTTCTGGGCAGCTGGTCCCAAGAATTAGGCTTGGAAATGGGCAGGGCTAGATTCCAGAGGATGGTTCTGGGATCAGGGGCAGAATGACAATCAGTTGGCTTACACCTGAGTAACACTGCACTTGTGTCCTGCCCATATCCATTCTGGTTGGTCAGTGCCCATGCTGTACTGGCTGTTAAATAAATATTCTGATTATCACTCCTTTTGAGGGACAGCACAGCCTTGTGGGGACCTCTGCTAGATTCCCCAGCCAGGAAGTAGAGTAGGGCTTACCCCTATTTGCCTCTCTCCTTGATTTAGCAAGAAGGAAAAGAATGGTCTGGAAGGATTAATCCATACTTCTCTCCTCTTTCTCTTGGTCAACTCAGGAGCCTTCCAGTCTCAGGGGAGGAAAGGGCCACGAAAGGAGGGGGATAGAAGTGGGAGAGCAGAAACTTACAGATTCTGCTTCCTAGTGCCAGAAAACCCACCATTGCTTTCAGCCCCATATTGGAAAACAGATACACCTAAGCCATCATCAATCTCTAACACATCAGCTTTATGGGCACTGGGCGCTGAGCCCTGGCAGGGATGGACCAGGACAAACAGGGAAGCCAAAGGATTCCAATGGCCAACGCAGCAGCCTGGCCCGGGAGGCCAGGCTGTTTACCCTGGAGATCTGACAGGTCTGTGCTCCTACAAGAGCAGTGTTGTTTTCAGAGCCCCTGGTGTCTGGTTTTGTTCATCTCAGACTTGTTATTTCACTCATCTCTAATAAAAGATTTTTTGAGTAAATTCCGGTGGCTTCATTTCTGTGCTGTGAAGAGCCATAGGGAAGGGGGTTTTAGGGCTTGGAATTCTGTCTCTGGACCTGGTAAGGGGGACAGCCTGGTGCAGAGCAGTGTTTTGCAACCAGGGGCAATTTTGCCCCAGGAGACATTTGGCAAGACAGAAATATCTATTGTCCCCAACTGGAAGGTGCTGCTGGCATCTAGTGGCTAGAATTCAGGGATGCTGCTAAACATCCTTCCATACACAGGCCACCCCCACCCCCAAAACAGCGAATTGTCCAGTCCAAAATATCCGTAGTGTCGAGGCTGGGAAACCCTGGTGTAAGGAAAAGAGCACTGGACTAGGAGTCTGGAGACCTGCAGTTTGGCTCTGCCGCAGTCTCTGTTTCAGTTTTATCTCGAGACAAGGGTTTGGGGAAAGTTACTTATTTGTGAGGTGATCTCAGGAAGCATAATGAAGGAGTAGGGAACTGAAACAGAAGGTCAAAAAGCAGGAAAGAGTATATTAATGAGGGGGTGCCACCGTGAGCAACAAAGGTATATTGAGTTGGAGACCTTTGAGAGACTATATTGGGTAGAATATGCCTTCAACTCCTCCCATCAAGAGTGAAGAAATTGGTGTATTTATCACCAACTCTGGTCTCTCAGTGGTTCCAGGATCCTTTCTGGGGGTGTTATTTCCTAATTCTTAACTTCCAGCCTGCCCTGAAGTCTGCAGTCAGATGCAGAGAGCTGTTGGAGGCATGTCCAGCCATGGCCTGCTGGTGACCTCCAGGTGGACAGGTAGGTGGAGAGGATAATAGTGGATCCCGACCATGTCTGATATGGTTGAGCAGTGCAACTCTGGACCTTACTGGGACTCAGTCTTCCAATCTGTACAAGGAAGGGATTGAACCCCATGTTTTCTTAGGATCGCTCAAGCCCCGATGAAGTATTGTCTTCTTTTGACGTCACACAACTCACGGTGGGAACTGGGTGGAAGTTTGAGGAAAATCAAAGCTGCTTTTTTTTTTATAAGGCAATCCTAAGTAATTGCAGACAGCTGTCCCTTCAACCCAGAGGGGTTTGCCTGGGGGGTTGGCCAAGAGGTTTTAGTCTAACCTAAAAGTGGCCTACAGTGCTTTGCGTGATTAGGCCCCACCCACCTCTGACTTTCTGCCTCTCCCCTCCCCACACTCCTCTTACTTCTGTGCTGTAGACACACCAATTTTTTGGTTCTTTCAACCCTGACACACCAAGCACCCTCCCTTCCCTAAGCTCTGCACATTTGGAACTCCAGGAGGACTGTTTTTTCCCTCTCAGGATGCTCAAGGCTAAAACTGCCTGGCACATACTAGGTGCTCAATAAATACATGAATGAATGAATGTTTCTTCTTCTCTTAAGTTAACTTTCCTCCTCCTCCCCCCAACTCCTACTCAGCACTTCTGCCTAAAGTTTAAACTTCATTTCTTCAGACATGACACCCCGACTGGTACAGGTCCCATCAAATATGTCCATAAGGTATCCCCCACTTCTTCCTGACCCTCACCTCAGTTGTGATAACGTAGAATTGATGATGTCTACATTTGTTTAAGCTTTTTCTTACCCACAGACTGAGTTTCAAGCTTTCTGGGGCTGGGTCTGTCTTGCTCATTGCTTGGACATTCAATACATATTCGTTGAATAAATGAAAAACTCACTCCTTCCTACTTTGGTCCCAGGTCACACAGCAGCAGTTAGAAGTGTTAGTCAAAATTTTAGAAATGGAGACCTGATTGGAGAGAAAAGGTGTTTATTTGGGAGTTGTTAGCCCTGCAGCCTGTGAGACACAGATTCAAGAAGCATTTGAATTTTTTGTTCTGCGTGACTACAAAATGGAGGAGGCCTATAAAGACAAAAACCACAGGTTACAGTTAGTTACAGGAACTCTTTGTTATCAAGAATTATAAATTTCTTGCGTTTTTAATTTTTTTTCTTCTTGAGGGGGAGGTCATTAGGTTTTTTTCTATTTTTTTTTTCATAGAGGTCCTGGCTAAGCAGGCATCCTACCACTGAGCTATACCCTCCCCCTAGGAGCTGGCAAGAAGTAAAGTGCTTATTAAGTAAGGATCAGTCGGGGTCTGAAATGGTTACACAGTTACAAGGGGAGAACTTGAGAACATAAGGTTTGCAGCTGGCAGGTGTTGTTCTGAGTACTCTTGGTAGTGTCCTTCGGTCTTGTACAGTTCAAAGAAAGTTCAGGTTATCAGTGGTGCAGAGATGTGTCTGAGACCAGATCCTCAATGGCCACCCGACTTCATTTTTGTATGCTTGAACTGTGATCATTCCATTTTAATTTAAGTTTGTCATCAGAAACCAGACAAGTCCATTCTGTGACCAGGGATTGGGGTTCTCTAAAGTTCTCTCCCGGAAGTCTGGAGATTTCATTGAACACCCCAACCTACAGCTCCCTACCCTGCACACACTGTGGACCACTTTTCATGCATCCCCTCCAGGCCCATAAGTAGCCTCTCCCTCCCCACGCATAGATTATTTTCTGTCAATTAAGCTCACTTGTTTAGGAAGGGATCTGGGTCTGCTGGGAACACTTCAAAGGTCCTTCCACAGGAACACAGATGTGTGCACAGCTGTGGGGGCACTGTTCCGTCTCCTCCCTTCCAGACCCAATCCCACTGGGGAGGCAGTGTTCTGACCCTGAATAAATAAAGAGCATCCATGCACTTGGATCCATATTTTTTGAAGTTTGGTGCACTTAAGAATCTCCCAAGCTCTCACTATTCAGAGTGCAGGCGTGGGACCAGCAGCACCAGTAGCACTCGGGGAGCTTGTTGGAAATGCAAAACCTTGCTGTAACAAACCAAGTTGATGGCTACAGTGGGCCTAGATACACGCGTGTGCACAGGCTGTGTGCACAAATGAGTGAGCACAGGTTAGGATAGGGTTGGATTTAATGATCATGCAAAAATAATATAATTCGAGTGCACCAAATTGCCTCCACTTGGACACAGGCACGCTTTGGGCGGCAAAGGTGCAGAGACACGGGAGCCCAGGACTCTTCCCGGAGCTCCCAGGGCACCCTCGGGCGCCCTCCTCGCCGCGACAGCCTCTTGTGTCCCGGGACGACAGCCTCCCCACTCGCTAGAGCCTTCCTTCCCAAACCTCCCTTCAGCTCCCGGCCCCCCCAGGACCAGCCTGGGGCGCAGGGCCCGCTGTCCCAGCCTGTCCCTCTCAGGAGGCCCGACTGGCGGGCGCGGGCAATCTTTGCCCGGGCGAGTCCTTGAAGTCTATATTTAGTGCACGCCACCCCTCCCCCACTGTCGGGAGGCGGGCGGCCGAGGGGGGTTGGGGGGG